CTAGACTTTGCTTCGGAGTTCGAGATCGCAAGGCCAACACGCGAATACACACGTGTGTTGCAAGTTGCTGCCTAACGTTTTCGTAGGAAAAGAAGAGAATCTGAGGACGATCGTGAGAGAGTCATGTGACGCAGCGAAGAGGTCGTTGAAGAGCCGTGGCTTGTCTCTCCCACCGTGGCGGAGAAGCTCTTATTTGCAACACAAGTGGTTTAGTCCGTATAAAAGAAAGGTGGGATCTAGTTTGGGAGTGAAGCCGTTGAATAGTGACGCCGTTAGCTGCCGCTCTTTAGGGTATGATGACGGCGCCGTCAATACTCGTTTGTTCATTAGGGCATGATCCATGGAGTATGGAGTAGACTTGTATAAGTGTAGGCGAATAGTTGGAGACTACACTTCTTTTTATTCAATCTGACATTCTGACTGACGTGATCCAAGTTGGTTAAAGCAATGTTTTGTATCGTGACTAGTATATTCTTGTTTAATATTCTTAAAAACAAATTAAGTTTCATTATAAATCATTAAATTATAGACTAGAGGTCAAATTATTAATCAGCATTTTAGAATGTCAAATACTTAATGTATCTATCAAACTGGATTTCGTGGCAATCATTTGCAATGATCTCTCGCTAGATGTTGGTGTTGTGATAAATAATATAACGGAGGATATGCCAATGAAGCATAACAGTGCATGTATGTGGGACATGTACTTAAAATGTGAAGAACACCTTAAAATTGAGTGAGTTGCCCACACGGCTGTGGTCTAGTGGTAAGGAAGAATTGGGGAAAGGTTGAAAGGAACTGTTGGTGTCGGATCCCGCACCAGAAGTACGAGACCAACCAAAGATTGCCACGTAGTCAAGCGGGTGGCCCATAAAGGATGAAGCCCATTGGGCTCATGAACCGAGGGGACGGTCGAAGTGGTTGTCACCACTTCGAGAGTCCGAAGTGACTGCACTGTGTCACGAGTTCGGTGTAGAAGACACGGGTAAGTCGGTTCAAAGACATTTGGGCCAGAAGAGGCGAAGCCCATGAAGATCAGAGTCAACTCAAATTCAAACCGTTGAGCATTAAAGCCGAAGAATCAAAACGGACACATTTAAGATGAAATAATTGTACTTAATTACTCATTTTAAATGTCGTTTAGCTATGTATAAATATAAAGGCCAATGGCCATGTAAAGGGGATCTTCCTCTGAAGAGAGAAATAATATAGCAAATTTTCATCAGTTTACAAGTTTTTACGCATTCATTTTTGTCCCTCAAGAATTATCTTTCCCACTTAACAAAATACTTGAGTGTGTGAATCCGACTTCCACATTTTGGCGCCGCCTGTGGGGATTATCAGGATTCTTGAGTGGTCAGATTTCTTCTTTTCTACTTTCCCGAGATAAGCGACAATGTCCGGAGGAGACGCCGTTGAAACATCATTGGCCGAAACCCTCAAAGCTATGCAGCAAACCATGTCGGACATATCACAAAAGTTCTCGGATGTGGAGAAGGCCGTCGATACGTTGCAAACATCCCAGGTATCTCTTAGTCAAAACGTCAATAATATACAAACTCGTGTTCGCTCTTTAAGTGCAGGAAACCCGGTGGGAACCCGAAGAGGGATATTCAACTCGCCAAGTTCCGCTGCACGAAATGAAACCAGCGGACAAACAACTCCCGGTGCTACTAATAATGTAGCTCAGACGTCGGAAGAAGAGACGCAGCTCGGGGATGAAGAACAACTTGCAGCTCAGTACGAGCAGGAGAACCTCGACCAGTTCGAGACCATGAGGAAGGTTAGCCAGGAATTAAAAGAAATGAAATCAAAATTTCATCAGGCTACAAGTTCGGAGCCAGACATCAATCGAGTCATTGAAGAAGCAAGGCGAACCCCTTTTATCCCGCGAATTGCAAGTTTGAGGATCAAAGATTCCCGGAAGCTCAAGCTGGACCCTTACAGCGGAGAGGAGGATCCAAAAAACTATCTTGCAGCCTTTCTGATCGCTGCAGGAAGAGTCGAGTTGGATGAAGCCGATGAGGACGCAGGCTATTGCAAGCTGTTTTCGGAGAATCTATGTGGCCAAGCTCTAATGTGGTTCACCCAATTAGAGCCGGGTTCGATCAGCAATTTCGACGAACTGTCAGCCGTATTCTTAAGGCAATACTCTATCCTTATGGATAAAAGCGTTTCGGATGCCGATCTTTGGAACTTAACCCAAGGATCTAATGAGTCACTTCGAGTTTTCATCACCAAATTCAAAGGGGTGCTATCAAAACTCCCAAGAATCTCACAGCAATCAGCTTTATCTGCCCTACGAAAAGGATTGCGACATGATTCAAGGTTTAAAGAAGACTTAATACTTCATAAACCAGATACAATTCAGGATGCACTCTTCCGTGCGAACAATTGGATGGAGGTAGAAGACGAAAAAGAAAGTTTTGCCAAACGGAATAAACAAGAAAAGTCGGCAGTCACCGTCCTCACCAAGAAGTTCGAGCCTAGAGAGAGCAAAGGACCAAGGAAGTTTGGGTCGCAACCCTTCAACAATTCTGTCGGGAAGCAATTCCAAGGGAAAGGAAGATCAAACACTTGGGTCCGTGATGAAAGTCTATATTGCGACATTCATAAAGTAACCGGACATTTAACCAAGGATTGCAGCGTTCTTAAAAAGCACCTCGCAGAGCTTTGGGCTAGTGGTGATCTTTCTAAATTCGATATAAAAGATTTTGTGAAGGAATACCACGAAGCAAAGGAAAACTCCAAAGATCAAGATTCCAAAAGACCAAGGTTATCCAACGAGGAAGAACCAAGAAGTTTGAAGGGGAAGATCAATGTGATTCTAGGAGGATCCAG